AATAGTTTGTGCTCAGGTGAAACAACATCTATGACTGAATAGTTTGTGTTCAGGTAAACAAGGTCTATGACTGAATAGATTGTGTTCAGGTGAAACAAGGTCTATGACTGAATTGTTCGTGTTCAGGTAAACAACGTCTATGACTGAATAGATTGTGTTCAGGTGAAACAAGGTCTATGACTGAATTGTTCGTGTTCAGGTAAACAGCGTCTATGACTGAATAGTTTGTGTTCAGGTGAAACGACGGCTATGACTGAATAGTTTGTGTTCAGATAAACAATGTCTATGACTGAATAGTTCATGTTCAGATGAACAACGTCTATGACTGAATAGTTTGTGTTCAGGTGAATAACGTCTGACTGAATAGTTTGTGTTCAGGTGAAATGACGGCTATGACTGAATAGTTTGTGTTCTTGTGAAACAAGTTCTATGACTGAATAGTTCGTGATCAGATAAATAACGTCGATGACTGAATAGTTTGTGTTCAGGTGAAACAAGTTCTATGACTGAATAGTTTGTGTTCAGGTGAAACGACGGCTATGACTGAATAGTTTGTGTTCAGATAAACAATGTCTATGACTGAATAGTTCATGTTCAGATGAACAACGTCTATGACTGAATAGTTTGTGTTCAGGTGAATAACGTCTGACTGAATAGTTTGTGTTCAGGTGAAATGACGGCTATGACTGAATAGTTTGTGTTCTTGTGAAACAAGTTCTATGACTGAATAGTTCGTGATCAGATAAATAACGTCGATGACTGAATAGTTTGTGTTCAGGTGAAACAAGTTCTTTGACTGAATAGTTCCTGTTCAGATAAATAACGTCTTTGACTGAATAGTTCGTGTTCAGGTGAATAACGTCTGACGGAATAGTTTGTGTTCAGGTAAACAACGTCTATGACTGAATAGTTTGTGTTCAGGTAAACAACGGCTATGACTGAATAGTTTGTGTTCAGGTAAACAACGGCTATGACTGAATAGTTTGTGTTCAGGTAAACAACGTCTATGACTGAATAGTTCGTGTTCAGGTAAACAACGTCTATGACTGAATAGTTCGTGTTCCGGTAAACAACGTCTATGACCGAATAGTTCATGTTCAGGTGAAACGACGGCTATGACCGAATAGTTCGTGTTCAGGTAAACAACGTCTATGACAGAATAGTTCGTCTTCAGGTTAAACAACGTCTATTACTGAATAGTTCGTGTTCAGGTAAACAACGTCTATGACCGAATAGTTCGTGTTTAGGTTAAACAACGTCTATGACTGAATAGTTCATGTTCAGGTGAAACGACGGCTATGACCGAATAGTTCGTCTTCAGGTTAAACAACGTCTATTACTGAATAGTTCGCGTTCACGTAAACAATGTCCATGACCGAATAGTTCGTGTTCAGTTTAAACAACGTCTATGACCGAATAGTTCGTGTTCACGTAAACAATGTCTATGACTGAATAGTTTGTGTTCGGATAAATAATGTCTATGACTGAATAGTTCTTGTTCAGGTGAAACAACGTCTATGACTGAATAGTTTGTGTTCAGGTAAAGAACGTCTATGACCGAATAGTTCGTGTTCAGGTAAACAACGTCTATGACCGAATAGTTCATGTTCTGGTAAACAACGTCTATGACTGAATAGTTCGTGTTCAGATAAACAACATCTATGACTGAATAGTTCGTGTTCAGGTGAAACAAGTTCTATGACTGAATAGTTCGTGTTCAGATAAATAACGTCTATGACTGAATAGTTCGTGTTCAGGTGAAACAAGTTCTATGACTGAATAGTTCGTGTTCAGATAAATAACGGCTATGACTGAATAGTTCTTGTTCAGGTGAAACAACGTCTATGACTGAATAGTTTCTGTTCAAGTAAACAACGGCTATGACTGAATAGTTCGTGTTCAGGTGAAACAAGTTCTATGACTGAATAGATTGTGTTCTTGTGAAACAACGTCGATGACTGAATAGTTCGTGTTCAGATAAATAACGTCTTTGACTGAATAGTTTGTGTTCAGGTGAAACAACGTCTATGACTGAATGGTTTGTTTTCATGTAAACAACGTCGATGACTGAATAGTTCGTGTTCAGGTTAAACAACGTCTATGACCGAATAGTTCGCGTTCAGGTAAACAACGTCTATGACCGAATAGTTCGTGTTCACGTAAACAATGTCTATGACTGAATATTTTTTGTTCAGGTGAAAACGTCTATGACTGAATAGTTCGTGTTCAGGTGAAACAATGTCTATGACTGAATAGTTCGTGTTCAAGTAAACAAGTTCTATGACTGAATAGTTCGTGTTCAGGTGAAACGACGGCTATGACTGAATAGTTTTAGTTCAGGTGAAACAAGTTCTATGACTGAATAGTTTGTGTTCAGATAAATAACGTCCATGACTGAATAGTTTGTGTTCAGGTGAATAACATCTGACTGAGTAGTTTGTGTTCAGCTAAATAACTTCCATGACTGAATAGTTCGTGTTCAGGTGAAACAACGTCTATGACTGAATGGTTTGTTGAGATAAACAAGGTCTATGACTGAATATTTTTTGTTCAGGTGAAAACGGCTATGACTGAATAGTTCGTGTTCAGATAAATAACGTCTATGACTGAATAGTTCGTGTTCAGATAAATAACGTCTATGACTGAATAGTTCGTGTTCAGATAAACAACGTCTATGACTGAATAGTTCTTGTTCAGGTAAACAACGTCTATGACTGAATAGTTTGTGTTCTTGTGAAACAACGTCTATGACTGAATAGTTCTTGTTCAGGTAAACAACGTCTATGACTGAATAGTTCTTGTTCAGGTAAACAACGTCTATGACTGAATAGTTTGTGTTCAGGTGAAACAAGTTCTATGACTGAATGGTTCGTGTTCAGATAAATAACGTCGATGACTGAATAGTTTGTGTTCAGGTGAATAACATCTGACTGAATAGTTCGTGTTCAGGTGAATAACGTCTGACTGAATAGTTCGTGTTCAGGTGAATAACGTCTGACTGAATAGTTCGTGTTCAGGTAAATAACGTCTATGACTGAATAGTTTGTGTTCAGGTGAAACAAGTTCTATGACTGAATGGTTCGTGTTCAGATAAATAACATCCATGACTGAATAGTTCGTGTTCAGATAAATAACGTCTTTGACTGAATAGTTCGTGTTCAGGTGAATAACGTCTGACTGAATAGTTCGTGTTCAGATAAATAAGTTCTATGACTGAATAGTTCGTGTTCAGATAAATAACGTCTTTGACTGAATAGTTCGTGTTCAGGTGAATAACGTCTATGACTGAATAATTTGTGTTCAGGTGAAACAACGTCTATGACTGAATAGTTTGTGTTCAGGTGAAACAACGTCTATGACTGAATAGTTTGTGTTCAGGTGAAACAACGTCTATGACTGAATAGTTTGTGTTCAGGTTAAACAACGTCTATGACTGAATAGTTTGTGTTCAGGTTAAACAATGTCTATGACTGAATAGTTTGTGCTGAGCAGAAAGCTGCAATAAGGGTTCTGTTAAAGACAGAGTTATATCTCATAGAATATGGCTCTTTTTCTTACAGTGTCGTACCTGATCTTGTGTTCATTGATGAATTCCGAAGTGTAAAGACGTGTTGCATGTAAACATGTTTAACACTGTGAAGAAACAGGTTAAACCAGTCTTAACTATATATTTTTAAGCAGCACAAATGTCCAAATACATTTTGGAGCAACTGATTCCTAAATGCATTTCTTTGGCAACACCTATATATATATATATATATATAGATATAGATTGCCTGTTGTAGAAAACAGGCACGACTTATATATATATACACACACACACACACATTTATATATATTCCCTTTATAATGACACTGGACTGCTTAATGATCTAACCTCTTTAAAGAATAGACTTCTACCTGCCACCCGCTCATGTCCTTGGTTCACCCCTGAACTAAGAATCCTGAAGGCCATCCTAACCTTTCATAGGTTAGGATTTAAAGAATTTAAAGGTGAGTGGTGATTAAGGGATGTGTGTTCAGTCTACATATGCCCGTTCAGGAATCTGGATGCCTTGGGAAAGATGATGTTGCACAGTCTGGTGGTGGTGGAACAGACACTTCAGCACATTCTGCCAGGTTACAGGAAGGTGAAGAGCAGGATAGTCCATGAGAGGGGTCATCCACAATGCTGGTGGTCTGACAGCTCTTGTGGTAGGACGTGTCGATGGTGTTTAAAGACGCCCAGATGATCTTCTCACCTGTCCTCACAATGCACTATAGGGTCCTACAGTCCGAGATGCAGTTCTCTTACCAGACAGTGAGACAGGACAACCTCTACTATCCTGTAGAATGTAATGAGGATTGAAGGGAGGAGGTTTGCTCTCTTGTGAGTCCTCCTGAAGTCAACATTCATCTTCTTTATCTTATCTCAATATTAAGAGGTAGATTGTTGTTTCTGCGCCAGTCTCCAAGCCACTCTGCCTATTCCCTGTATGCTGACTCATCATTGTTACAGTGGTAGGAATATAATCAGCAGCAAACTTAAGGATGTGATTTTATCAATGCTTTGTAGCACGGCCTTGATACAGCAGCGTGAACAGCCCTAGGGAAGGCTGGAGGTAATATTGCCAAACCTGAAAGACTGAAGTCTCCTAGTCAGGAAGTCCAGGATCCCGTTGTAGAGGAAGGTGTTCAGGCCCAGCAAGCTCAGCTTTCAGATAATTTGCTGTGGTATGATTGTGCTGAATGCTGAACCAAAGTCTATAAATAGCATTCTTACATTATTGTCTTTTCTGTCCAGGCAGGTCAGTGAGAAGTGAATGGCAGCCCCTGTACACCAATTAGGGCGATATGCAAACTGGAATGGATCCACCAAGGATCCTTTCACTTCAGAAATCATCAGCATATATAATCTGTCCAGGGCTGGCTAAACTTTTGCATGCAACTGTATTATGGGCAGTGTGCAAACCTGTGTGATAGTTAGCCTTTCTGAATCTCTGCAATGTTTCTCTCTTTAGCATGAGAGCTCAGAGCATGAAATCTATGCTCCAATATCTCTGAAGGCTCAGTCAACAGGCCGACGTTTCTCTGAGCCAGTACGAGTACCAGGAGTGCCTGAGGTTTTTGACAGGGAGTATGTTCTGGAGAAGATAAAAGGTAAGAGTCTGCACTTTTTTAAGCATGTCCTGTATATGGTTTTTTTATGGTTAAACTATCATTATAATTCCTTCAGATGGTGAGAAAATCCCCAACTGCACTGAGGAGAACCTTAGAGAGGCATCACTTCAAAGAGCAACTGATATTGAGAAGATTTTGCTGAGTCTGCCACCATCAACTAATACTTTTCCACTTTGGGTTTCATATGATGCTACCCAACCTAGTTCCACGTATGAATGTTTATTAATTTTTATTAAAAATGTTCTAAATATTAAATGACCTTATGAACATATGCAGAAATGGTAGAATTAATACATATGTTCTTTAGTTTTAGAATATATCCACAGAAAACATATGCCCAGATGAATGAAGAACTTGCAGTGTACCCCCACATAAGTGTAACTCCACCATTACAACTACGAGGTCTGGGTGTTGAGGGGCCACTGCTGGTGTACCTCAGTGAAGGTAAGGGGTCCTTTACTGAACCTCATTTTTATTTTTGTCAAATAAATAAGTATAGTGGATAATATATGTATATTTTATGCATAGCTAAATGGATGTAATAAATTTGATCACAATTAAGTATGAAATCAAACAGCTGTAAAAAATGCTAAAGAAGGATTGTATTAGTTTCAGAGAAATCAAAAAGGATAATGAGTAAAATAAAATATAACACACCTTTGTTGTGACAGACACATTTTGATTCTGGACCTTTGTTAGGGAATATTTCATGGTTGCTTACTCAGATAGCAATCAATAATTCAGGGTGTCCAGTCTTATCAGAAAGGGCCATTGTGGCTGCAGGTTTTCATTCCAAGAAACAAGAAGCACACATGATCAGTTGTTTGTAGTCTGAGACCAGCTGATAGAACAAGTGCAATCGGGTGTGTTCCTGCTTGTTTGGAATGAAACCTGCAGCCATGTTGGCCTTTTGATGTTAAGTTTGCACACCCCTGCCAGTAATGGACCAATATTAAATCAACAGTAATGCATTGAATCAGCGTTCCAAGTTGATGTTGATCCTTAAATCACGTTTGTATTTAATACTGAAACCACATTAAAAGTTCATCAAAAACTTAACAGTACACCAATGCCACATCAATCTTTTAAATATCTTTTCTGCAGTAAAACAAATCATGCTGCTTTGCCTATAAAATGTGTCATATTGTGTAAAGCCAACTAAAACAAAAACATACTAAACAAAAATGTATACTCCTTGACCTATACATAACACTTTTAAAATACTTTTAAATAAAACCCCAATGGAATGTTATATAAAGTATGCAAAATGCGATACAAAATGAAAGTGGTGATTAGTAAATTTGGTTTTGACCTTCTTTATTTTGAATATGGTGCAATAACACAGTATTTGATGTTTTCTGTTATGAACTTAATATTTTTTTTTTTTTTTGCAAATATACACTCATTCCAAATATCATGCATGCAGCATGTTCCAAAAATGCCGGGACAGGAGTATGTTTACCACTGTTTTACATCACTTTTCCTTTTGACAGCACTTAAGGGTGCAGGAACTCAGCTAAACAAGCTGGGGCTAGACCATTTAGAGTTTTGTAAGTTAGCAGGAGTTTAAACTGGTTATGAAGTCAGACAGGTAACCAGTGTAACTGCCATAGAATGGGATTGATATGAGCTGATTTTTAAGGTGAGAGAGAATTCTAGCAGCTGATTTTTGTAAATACTGAAGATGGCAGATAGTTTTGTAAGGAACACCAATGAGAAGGGAGCTGCAGTATTCTAAGCAGGGTGATATGAAGGCATGGACCAGAGATTGTGTCTTTCACAGGAGAGCAGGGGGCGAAGGCGAGCAATTTTGCGGAGATGGAAAAAAGCTGTTTCGGCTAAAGTCTTAATATAAGGTTCAAACGAAAGGTCAGGATAAAAATGTACACCTAGGTTACAGACTATAGCTGAAGGTCTAATGGTCACCCCATCCAAATTAAGTGTGAAGTTGCAATAACAGACTCAGGGCCAATGAGCAGAATTTCAGTTTTATCAGTGTTTAGTTTTATAGAGTTACTCTGCATGCATTGTTTGAGGTCTCGAATGCAAGATATTAGGGTGGGGTGAGGCAGGCTAATGGTGTTGGTGTAGATGTAGATCTGTATATCATCAGCATAACAATGGAAACGAAGACCATGACAGGAGATGATCTGACCAAGGGGTAAAATATAGATAGGGGTGAGGACTGAACCCTGGGGGACACCTTGTGTAACAGCACTGATAGCAGAGTTATGCTTACCAAGGGCAACAAAGTGGAGTTTATTAGTGAGATAGGATCTGAACCAGGTGAAGGCAGAGTCAGTAATGCCAATAGCTGAAAGGTGAGAGATGAGTATGTAATGATTAACAATGTCAAATGTAGCAGTTAAATCTAAGAGGAGCAGAATATTGATAGCAGCATCACAGCATATATTGTGGCTCATTTTCTAACATATATCTGGGGGCTGTTTCATGAATTTTGCTGCTTGAAAACATACAAAGATTTCCTTGATTTATTATTAGCACACAGTTCAGAAGCCAGCATCCATGATGATATAGGGGTGCAAAAGTGCACATGATATGGTTGACTTGTACATCTGTGAAGCCACCATTAATACTGAATGATATGTACAGGAAAAATCAATCTTTTTTTCCAATTTATTTCCAATTTTGTAATTTTGGTCTTTCCAGCATCAATTAGAACTCTTTTTTGGCCCATCTTAATTGTAGTAAACACTTATAAGATAACATTACACATTGTAAGAATATAATGACTCTTGATTGTCTCCTTGGTCAAAATACATTAGACAATATAAGAACTTAGAAAGTCATTAATACAAGAAGTCAGTATTTGCTTATACCACATAAACGGTACCTGAAATATGGTATTTAATCTAATTTAATAAATTCAGGGATATTTTTTTTCTTTAGACTGTTTGCAGTGTATGGTTTTACATAGCAGTGTTCAATTCATTATAAATACATTACATTGTAAGATATTATGTAATAGTGCCCTACTACACTGTAAAATGTGTTTACCTAAGTCATTTTGGTAACAGGCAATAGAATTAGTTTTACTCAATAAACTACTTTAATTTAAAAAATATTAATTTAAAGTAATTATTTAGGTTACAACATAATTACTTGACTTGTTACCACTATTTGTTTAGGTTACCACTAATTACTTGTTAATAAAGTAATTTTTTAGGTTTAACTGAAAAACTGTTTTTTTTTTTACACAAAAATTGTCCCATATATGTAAAACAATTACCTAAAAAAAATATAAACTACCTAGAATCCTCAAATTGAGAACTGAAATATGATCTCCAGTAAAAGGCAAGTGATGAAGTGATTAATTTTTATGAAACATATTTGTTAATCATTTCCTCCTATATTGGTTAGTCATTAATCTGCTTAAAATTATTTCTTTTTATTTTATATTAACAAATATATATTGCTTTTCACTCTTACAGACAATCTCGGCATGTACATCGGTAAAGACAAAGCTACCCCTCAAAACATTAAGGTGTTTGATTGTCTTGCTGGGAAAGAGGTCGTTGTCAATGTTGATGAGTTGGCTAATAAGTAAGTATTCCCTGACCTCTATTCTCATTATTATAATCTGCTTTAGTTATATTGACTTGCCTAAAGTGAAAATTTCTAATAATTGCAGATGGTAACTTTTTCTTCTATATTATATAGAAGTTAATTATATAGAGTCTGAGTGGAATTAACCTAAAACCTTTTGGGAATTTGTAGCAGGGTGACAAAGAAGTAAAGGAAAAGCAGATGGGTGGGAACACTCATACAGCTGAGACAGCACAGATGTTGTAGACCTTTACCATTTTTATTCCTCTTCAGTTTGTAATCTCTACATTAGAAAATGGAAAAACTACTTCTGCTAAACAAAACCAACAAGATTTTTTAAATGTCATCTACCCTCTGCTTTATGGAGACCTAACTTTTGACATGGGCTTTAGACCCCAGACAGCGCACTGAACCTACCCGACAGATAGAGGCACAGACTTCACTGGCAAACCCAGGGGAAAGAAATCTGCTTCTGTATCAACAGTCGCTGGTATAAAGATGCCACAGTACTTCAAAAAAAAATCATGCAATGCTTAGAGTCACTTTTCATCAACTGCAGAACATTCTACTCTCCACCTACTTTCTTTAATTTATGATCAAGAGAGCTCAGCAGAGAATGTTCTTCCTGAGACAGTTCTACAAACTCATGACTAGGAGCAGCCTATAAACACTTCACTGTGAAGGCCCAAAACACAGGCTGCTTATTCAAAGATGTATGTAGATAGGTGCCTTTAAAAGTATAGGAATGAAATCTGCACATATTGACAACATCTGACACACTACTATCATAACGTCTAAAAATTTAAGATGCAAAAGAGATTTATTTTTGAAGCGTTAACATGGAGTGCCAATCCTGGGTCCCAAAAGAACCCATCATTGGATGAGAAGCCCAAGTATGAATGACTTATTTTAGTTTAATCAGAAAGCACTGTTTCAGTTTATTGTGTAGAATCATTTAGAATAAATGTTAATGGATAATGTTTGTGTATTTTTCTTTTTCATTGCAAGGACACAAAAAACAAGTAGAGAGAAACTAAGATATCAATAAATAGTCCAGACTTAATCATGAGTTTGTATTATAATTGGTGGTCAAAATGCTCACTTTATTGGGTGGGACACAAAATAGATGAATTAACAGAAAATGAATGGGACTACCACATAAGTATTAGTTCTCATGCTACTTCTTTATATGTGTAGACCCACTTTAGTTCATCATCAGTGTAATAAGCAGCAGTTGGTGAACAATGAATGAATAAATGAGCTATGAACTAAACTCAGGTAACAACTTAATCAGTACTTAGTAATTAACTAATGTTTAATAAGCATTTAATTCATATACAAACAATGAGTATTTAACTGCTTTAACTGCTTATTAGCATAATTATCAATTATCTCTTAAGAGTTACCAATTTTTCCATCTTATCACTGTACAGTTGAGCAGGATGAATGTAGACAAAATCAAATACAATATTTAGAATTAGTTGATAATACATTCTAAAAAGATATGAATACATACACAAAAAGGAAGCACACTGTTCCATTTTGTAAGCACATGTAATCTTACTTTCATTTTGTTCACACAGCAATGACAGAACACACCACAAAATAATCTGTTACCATAGTTATACTGTATAACCACATACAAATAATCATTTCATGTCTAACATAGCTTTATTACAGCTGTTATTGCCAGAGATGGGGGCTCAAGTATTTCCAGAATTGCTGATCTCTAGGAATTTTTATCCTTAACAGTCTCAAGTGTTTTGCAAAAAGCAAAAAAAAAAAATAAATAAATAAATAAAAATAAAGCATCCAGTAAGCAGTTCAGTGGGCAGTATAGAACTATTTGACAAGTTGAGCTGTGTTTAGGCCTTGTTAGCTTGTGGTGTCCCAGCAAATTTCCCCATCTTCTCAGAGAAGAAAAACTGTCTGTGATGATTTAAGCAAATAGTTAGCACTAGATTTGCATTAGAATTTTAACAGATTGGACGAAATCAAAATAATAAGTTGTCTGATGGCTGGAGGGCTGTGGTGTAAAACATGGTTAACACTCATGGTCTCTTGAAAGTCATATCAGATGTTTAAAAATCAACTTAAACATGATTTTTAAACACCTTGTCCTTAAAGCGTGAGGACGAGGAACGTTTATTTTTTCTTGGACACAAAAGTAGTAAGAAAGATAGAAGCAAACCTGCTGGTCTGTTGTTGAAACAAAAGGCAGTGGAGAGAGCAACTGGTCAAGTTCTTAAGAGCAATCTAAGTCGGAGCCAGTAAGTTGGTTTGTGAACAGAGTGTAAAGGCTGAGAAGAATTTCACTGTCTGGACAGCAGACTGGCAATTCCATACAGCACCTACCATCATAATCTGAGATTGTGACAACAGTGGGGGATTGATATTACTGTTTTATTTTTGTTTCTGTGAAAGGAAATTTGTCTTAACATTCCATGGGAAGTTTGAATATGAATTAAAAAGCACATAGTGAAAGTCAAGCAAGCAGTAATTGATAGATACAAATGATAAGTAAATAGTTAAGTTGGAACAGTCTAGCCTCTGCTTTTGATGGCAGAAGCTGATGCCTAATCACCATGGTTGTCTGTAGCAGCACTCTTAATTCATTGACTTTAAATGAATATATGTAACCCATTTCACAAAATAATAATTATCATTCATAATTCTGATTGCTCTCTTTGTATTTCCTAGGCTGAGAGATATAACAGCTGACCTCACTTTCAGAGTGACCAAAACACCAAAAGAAGCAATAGTGGTATGTTACCTAAACCTCTGGAATGATTAATCTTTACAGTATGCATTTTTCAACAATGACTACTCTGTGTTTTTTTGTGTCTTTACTGCAAGAATAGTTGCTATTGCATGCCATTCTCGCAACTTCAAAATCAGCGGAAAATCTGGGTGCAGAAGTAAACAAAGATGTTGGCACACGCAGTTAGTTCTGCATTTACCATGTTACCATTGCCGGCATGGGCAGATAAGATAAGATAATCCTTTATTAGTCCCACAGCAGGGAAATTCTCAGTGTTACAGCAGCAAAGAAGACCAAGGCACTCAAGAAAAGAGGTAACAAAAAGAGAATGAACAAGCAAGTAATTAACCTTGATAAACCTTACAGTTTCTTACTTATTACTACATAGACAATAATATATACATACATAGATACATACATACATATATACACACACACACATTTTATATATATATATATATCCATAGGGTTTAATATGATGTCGGCCCACCCTTTGCAGCTATAACAGCTTCAACTCTTCTGGGAAAGCTTTCCACAAGGTTTAGGAGTGTTTATGGGAATTTTTGACCATTCTTCCAGAAGCGCATTTGTGAGGTCAGACACTGATGTTGGACGAGAAGGCCATTGCGCTTGGTGATGTAAGGCATGGATGCAGCTGCTCAGCCATGGAAACCCATTCCATGAAGCTCTCTACGCTGTTCTTGAGCTGATCTGAAGGCCACATGAAGTTTGGAGGTCTGTGGCGAATGACACTGCAGAAAGTTGGTGACCTCTGCGCACTATGCCCCTCAGCATCCGCTGACCCCGCTCTGTCATTTTACGTGGCCGACCACTTCATGGCTGAGTTGCTGTCGTTCCCAGTCGCTTCCACTTTGTTATAATACCACTGACAGTTGACTGTGGAATATTTAGTAGTGAGGAAATTTCACGACTGGACTTGTTGCACAGGTGGCATCCTATCACGGTACCACGCTGGAGTTCACTGAGCTCCTGAGAGTGACCCATTCTTTCACTAATGTCTGTAGAAGCACAACGTGGCCAGGACATCTGGCTAGGGCTTGTCTATTGGGGGTGAAGTCAGCAGGAAAGAATGGTGACCTAGCCGAAAAGAACTGCATAGGCTGCGAACAAACAGTGACTGTGGTGGGGAGAATGTCCATATAAAACTTCTGACACATTACCATTGACATTGAAGGAGTCCCATACATTGTTCTGGTGGACAAGGAGTCGACAGTCACAGTGGCCCAGCCAGAAGTGGTATCTGTTTGGTTTAAGCTGGAAGACATGACAGTTCATCTCCGCATTGTGAGTGGTGGGCTAGCACCACAAGGGTGTGTGAAGGGGTGGGGGGTGGGGGTATTTGATGCAGACAGTCAGGGGCAAGAAAATGCACCATTTAGTCTGGACAGGTGAAGTCCAACATATGTGCATTCTACACCTAGACATTTTGAAACAACGGGTGGACCTAGAATGTGCCATACTGTGTTTCAAGCTGGCCAAGCAATGTCAATAAAGTCTTTGATGTCATGTTGACAAACTTTTCTTACAGCTGATCTCATTGTGCTTTCTTGTAGGTGCTCTTTGATTCAAGTTCCTCGATGAGTGAGGAATGTTTCGACGCACAGTGCCAGATGAAACGAATTGATGCTATTAAACAAATGTTTGACAGCTTCTCAAACCGATGCATGAGTTATAATTTTGACCACGTGATCTGTCTGGTCAAATTTGACTCTAAAGTAAAAACTCTTCATATCTTCACAGAAAATATGGAAACCTTTAAGGTAATTTAGGGCTGTAATGTAATATAATATACAAACACTATTCCAAAAAAGTTGTCTTTTGACCAGGAGTGGAAAGAATACAGAAAATCCCTTCTTAAATATAATGATTGGGGTTTATAGTAGGGGTCAGTACACAGGCAGACAGCAATATTGAAGGCAAATGCATAACAGCAATACAAGAAAAAAACAAAGGGAAACAACACAATGACCAGGCTTAGATCTAGGTGTGATTGGTTGTAAGTGGGTGGAGCTGGAGCTGGAGTGAACTAATACAAAATGGGAAAGGCAATATGCTGAATGTCTAGAGTGGGAGGACCAGGGTGGGGTCTTGCACCAACAATGCAGAAATGGACAGGTCCAAATGGAGCCTAAAAGGGAGTCTATGGGAGGAACAAGGGATGAAAAAAACGACACATAGAACAGTGCGGTTCAGTATGTCTGTGGATTAGAGCTTGGGGACCTGCCATGAGTGAGTACATGTAGTTTGGTGGCTATTGTGAAGAAGAAAGATGAGGGCTTTATTGGGGCCGAAAATGAATTGGCCTCTAAGGGATGAACGAGGGATGAAAAACAACAAATAGAGGAGTGTGGGTCAGTATGGTTGTGGATTAGAGTTTAGGGAACTGCCCTGAATGAGGACATGTACTTTGGTGGCTGTCGAGAAAAAGACAGATTGGGGCTTTGTTACGAAAGAAAATGAATGGGACTTTATGGGAGGGATGAAATAAAATGACAAATGGATGAGTGCGGGTCAGAACAACAGTGAATTCGTGCTTGGGGGCCTGCTCTGAGATAGTGTATGCGAAATGGTGTCTTACGGTCAAGCAGAAGTACAGTAGATTGTCACGCAATTTTTCGCCCCATTCATTCTCTATGCAAACAAATTCCACAGAATTCCATTGCTACACGGAATCCGTGCATCCCATCAAAAAGCTGTATACAAGCATGCATCACACAATGAGACCGGACAATCTGGAATTGGCACGGTGTTGTTATCTCGAAACTGAAGGATGAGTTACGCAGCGAGAGAAGAAGAATAAAAGAGAAGAAGAAGAAGAATATAAAGCAGATAACAATATAGTTAAACTAAAGCAATGCGCAACCATAATTAATTCTACTTCAAAAGTACCATTACAGGGAAAAATGTACTCAGCTACAGTAACAATTAAAAATTACTTTCCACTCCTGCCTTATTTTGTATTTTGGTTTCAGAAGAACAGAAGGGTATGGTCTAACTCTTGTGGATGCCATGGATGTTAAGTGATGTATTTTGATTTTTCTTTGATCTTGGTTAGGTTTCAATTCCTGAAAAATGTTATGATTATCTGCCTTTTTAGGAATATGTTCATGGTCTTCAGGCATCTGGCAGGACTTTACTGTATGATGCCTTGAATCATGGAAGTGAAGAACTTGCTAAGGTCAAAGCAAGATTTCCAGACTGCAGATGCCGCATTCTGTGTTTGACTGATGGCAATGATATTGGGTAAGTTGTTTTTAGTAACCAATTCAAATCAAATCCCAAATGCTGCTTCAAGCATTCATTTACATTAAGTTTAACATCTCAACCTTAGACCAAGGTTTAGACCAATCAGTAGGATTGACTAGCATTGTCTGATATTGGGATCATGATAGCTACATATTATCAAGTTTGGTCAAATATCTTAACCTGTTATTTTTGGGGATCAAATGTTTGTTGTCTTTTATATAACAATTAGCAGAGTTATAGTCTGATACAATTGATTGTCTAAACCTGTGATGTTATTTATAAAAGAGCTACACCTGAATTAATGTAAATTAAATGTATACATGTTAAATTATCCTTTGCTTAACAAAAGTAAGAATCAGTAAAACTAAAGTGAGACCAACAAATTACAGGTCAAGCTGCACGCCAGTTGATGTTGCCAAAAAACTGATGACCTCAAACATCGTTGTTGATGCTGTGATTGTTGGTAAGGTGGACAACACAGTGTTGCATGGAATCAGCAATGTCACAGGTTTGTTTTCATGTCTTCTAATTCAGATTTTACAGTCGATAAAAGTTGTTTTTTTATGGCATATGAAGCCTGCTGCAAAATTGTCTTTATGTTTTAAGGAGGATGTTGTTTCAAGCCTGAGACAAGTAAAGCAGCTATGAAACTTTTTGAGATGGAAACAGTTTTGTCCATGGAACTGAGAAAGGAAAAACAAAAGTTTGATGTATCTTCCATTACTAACCAGGTATGAAATACAGTTAAACTAATGCAGTTCAGATAAATGTATGAAAAAAAAGTAAATAAATAAATAAATAAATAATAATTCTGGCATGTGCCAAAGTTTAGACACCTTTCCAGTTGTAGAGTGTCAGAACATAACTCCTTAGGCCTTAATTGACTTGTTAGAACTGGTTAGGCAGGTTATGAAATGTCATTATGAATTGTCAGCTGATTCCAGAGCGTAATAAATTCTCTGATTCTTCAAAACTTGTGCTCACACGCAACAGAACATGGTTACATCAAGCTGTGGCAAAGCATCAACAAGTAATCCAGTTCGAAAAACACCCAAACTCCACTCCCCTCTCCCAAATTTATACACATATCAATGCTATATTAATGTTAATATTATACACACATCAGCATTGTATTTTATTTTTTCTTTTATTATTTTTTATTATTTACTTTCAGTGTACCTAAAATATTTTTTCATTCTGTCCTCAGTTTAGCTGCTGGTAAACTGGAATATCTGGATTTTATAAAGAGACACAGAGAGGACAGAAAGTCAATAATGCTAATATTTTTGTAATTACTAGTAATAGGTATCAAAAATCCACCATAAACTTTTTCATGAAAGTCAAGCTGAAGCTGTTGGAATGGATCTCACAGTCCACTGACTGAACATCATTAAAATATGTGAGTAGATCTTAAACATGCTGTGCATGCAAGATGGCCAATGAATATTGCAGAACTAGAAGCATTCTGTGAGGAAGAGTGGGTGAAAATTTCTAAAAAAAAGAATAGAAAGGCTCCTGGCAGGTTACAAAAATTGTTTGTAAGCTATGACATCTGACAAAGGGGGTGCTACAAAGTACTGACTTAGTAGGATGTCCGAACATTTACCAAAACGTTTAACACAATTACAACCCCATTTCCAAAAGTTGGGACACTGTGAATAATGTAAATAAAAACAAAATGCAATGATGTTCAAATCATTTAAACCCTATACTTAATTGAAAATAGTACAAAGACAACAAATCAGATGTTGAAACTGAGAAATTTTATTGTTTTTTGAAAAATATTTGCCCATTTTGAATTTTATACCAGCAATACATTCCAATAAAGTTGGGACGGGAGCAACAAAAGGCTAGTAAAGTTGTGTAATGCTAAAAAAAAAAAACACCTGAAGGTTAATTGGCAACAGGTCAGTAACATGATTGGGTATAAAGATCATCTCAGAGAGGCGGAGTCTTTCAGAAGTAAAGATGAGGAGGGGTTCACCACTCTGTGAAAGACTGCACCATCAAATAGTGCAACAATTCAAGAATAACGTTTCTCAACATAAAACTTTTGCTTTCATCATCGGTACATAATATCATTAAAAGACTCTGATTAAATGATTAAAAGACATTTAGGGTGTTATGAAATGAAAAATACAACAAAGGAGACCCTGAACTGATGATCAGCTGAAATCCTGTATCAAACAAGAACAGGAAAACATTTCACTTTCTAAACTACAGCAGTGTCTCCTCAGTTCACAAACACTTACAGAGTGTTATTAAAAGAGGAGGTGATGAAACACAGTGGTAAACAGGCCCCCGTCCAAACTTTTTTGGAACGTGTTGCTGGCATCAAATTCAAAATGGGCACATATTTTTCAAAAAACAATAAAATTTCTCAGTTTCAACATTTGATATGTTGTCTTTGTAATATTTTCAATTAAATATTGGGTTTCAACGATTTGCACATCATTGAATTTTGTTTCAATTTGTTTTGCAGAGCGTCCCAACTTTTTTGAAAAGGAAGTTGTATTTTTCTTCAATATATAATCAGGTATAAAGTAACTGTACATTTATAAAGTAACAATTACATTTGCAGAAAATGTAATTTTTTAATAATGTGTTGGCAAAAGGGCATTGTTATAATTTTTAATTTTAACAGATAAAAGGGCAGGATCATCCAGCTGACAAAAAAAGAAACAATTCATGGCAAATTCATGTTTGAGTTTCATTATTAGTCTCTGTTCTGTAGAAGTCAGCAAATCAGGAGAAATCAGATTGATAGATCTCACCTAGTTTGTAGATATTGTGGTGTCAGCATGGAGTAAGAAGATGCAAGAAACATAGTGCTTCCAATGAGTCCTCTTTTATTGAACACGGCAGCAGTGAGAATCACCACCAGCACTACTGAACAGCCAGGATAGCGGGCAGGTCATCAACAGGCACACACTTCAACCTGATGGTAGGCATAGGCTCTTCACCAACTACCCCAGAGCCCAGCTCAGAATAACACATGCAACACATGTACACATCATCAAGCCAACAACAACTACTATTCACGAGTTGGGGTACTCATGGGTTGGAGGTTAGGGAACCAGCCTTGTGACCGGAAGGTCATCAGTTTGATCCTCTGGGCTGACAGTATGTGATTGAAGTGCCCTTGAGCAAAACCCCCAACTGCTCACCTGGCTCTGTGGATAGGGCTGCCCACCGCCCCAGGCAAGTGTGCTCACTGCCTCCTAGTGTATATATGGTGTTTCATTTAAATGCGGAGGTGAAATTTCCCCGTTGTGGGACTAATAACGGTCACTTAATCAAAAGCTTAAAATCTTTCTTACTGTGTGTCCAGCTTTTTCCCAGGGGGCTCCAGGCGTGGCCATGCTCTTGCTCGCCAGGAGCTAAAACCTGTGTGGATTGTAAAATTTTTTTTGTTGCATTTTCCTGAATGCGTTGTCCCTGTTCATGCCTCAGGAGTTGGCTGGTAAAATGAAGTTGATGTGTTTGTAATCCACTTGAGTAAAGCAGTCATCCACCATGAAACATGTGCAGTCCCAGCTATCAAAGGCTTCCTCCAAGTGTTTAGTCCACCGAAGCCATGATAAACTCAATATGTTAAAAAAAGTCGAATCAAGTGAGAAATTTTTCTGCAAACACAAACAAACAGCCAAATCAGGCAAATATCTGATATAATAGCATTTACAATAACCTACAACTTCATTAATGACAACAAAAACTTAAACAGAACAACACAAAGTCAAAATTCACACTGAGCTTAGAACACCAAGGCTCCTCTCCCTGTTACTTTAATAATTCTATATGTTCTTATTTTGATGCCATATATGTTGCAGCAGGTAAAAGCACATTAATGCCCCTAGTGGGCAGGGTTAATTTACTGATTGCGTTTTAATTTTTTTACAGGGTGGTCTGAAGAAGATCTTTCAGACTCATCCATATGATGAGAAACCACAGACAAAACTCCCCCCACAGATCAACAATAAAGTGACAGTCACTCAGAAGTAAGTAATTATATCATGCAGCTGAAAATTGAAATCTCAAAATGCATGTCTCAAGAGTTTTCAAAATATGGTAATTTAGTTGTTCTGTTATATTACAGGGTTCTAAATTAAAAGATCTTTGTTGGCCTTGGAAAAAATGCACACAGTGGGCTGGAATGATAACATTAGATTTACGTTTTAGATGTTTTTTTTAGTTTTACATAATAATTTTACAGTTAACCTCTACTGCCGCTTAAATATACAGGATGAAATCAGAGACACTGCATAGACCACAGACATTTTATCTATAATGCTACTTTGCTGTAACAACACTGGTTGACAGTTTGTAAGGATTCATTCATATATTTCCTGTCGGATTTGTGTGGAAATTATTATTATTTATAAAATGTGATGCACCAGTCCGGAATAAAATTGTCTCCAAATGAGGTACATTTGATGGTTAACCCTGAGGAGACAGTAAACAACAACAGAAATAGTATTAATTTTCTCAATACTTACTCAAATTTTGTGAAGAATTGATCTTAGCTATTAAACCTCTGTGACACATGGGTAAACATTTACGAACTGTAATAATAAAGCAATTAGTAAAAAAAGGGAATATATATATATTTATATATATATATATATATATATATATATATATATCAGCTGGGATAGGCTCCAGCACCCCACAGCGACCCAGAAGGATAAGCGGTTTAGATGATGTATACAGACAACAGCACTTAGAGTAAAATAAATGAACAGCAACAAGGTAATATAAGAAATGCAAGAGCTATACACTGAGAAGTCGTGGGATAGCAGTATGTAAATTGATTATGAAGTGGAGTTACCTCAGGGGATGGCTTGGTTATGCCCACTCTTGTTTAAGTTGTAAGGTGTTATTTTGTAAGTGAGGTTGAACACTGGCTAGCGTGCTCATGGCAAGGTGACGTAAATTATCGAAGGTCAAAAAAGGCATGGTAGTGGGTGCCAGATGGATGGGAAATTCCATTTCCGAAGTTTCCAGAGTGCAGTTGAAACTTTCCACCAACCCATCACTCTGGCGGGTGTGCGAGGTGGTGCGGGTCTTCTTGATACCAAGCAGTGCATAGGCCTCTGGCCATTTGATGAAATAATTCATGGCAGTCATCACAATTCTGTTTGCCCCAGCAGTGAATGAAACTAGCCCCAACTATGTTGACTCCAACCTGTTGCATGGGCTTGCACACTGGAAACTGCTGCAACTCGACTGCGGGGTCCTTTGCATACAATACACAGGTTGCACCTTCTGCTAAAATCTTCTATATCCCATCTCAGCTGTGCCAAGTAGATACTCTGTTGGAGGCTGCAAAGTGTTTTTGTGACTCTGCTGATCCATGCATGGCTTTTAAAACTTCTTCCTATAGCCCTCAAGGCAAAACTGTCTGCCATCTCCTCCCCAGTCACTGACACTGGTGTCAAACCTGGCCCACAGCCCTTTTGTGTGTGGAGATAGGGCCACTAATGGTTGTTGACTTCAGGAGAGCATAGAGTGACCACTCTCCGCTCACCATCAAAAACTCCCCTGTGGAGACTGTTGCAAGCACCAAGTTCCTTGGTGTTCACCTAGCGGAGGACCTCACCTGGACCCTGAACACCAGCTTCATAACCAAGAAAGTCCAGTAGCATCTCTATTCCTGCAGAAGTTAAGGAAAGCTTATCTCCCACCATCCTTACCACTTTCTACAGAGGCACTATAGAGAGCATCCTGAGCAGCTGCATTACTGCCTGGTTTGGGAATTGCACTGCTTCCGACTGCACTGTAGGTGCAGGTGCATGGCATGGAGGCCCAGCCAAATCCTGTACTGTGGAGTGGCATGCCAGACCAGAGGTAGATGTCTGTCCCAGTCATGCTGGTGCTGATTAGTGATGATGGTGACCTGGGTAGTAAATGTCTGATTGAAATAGACCTCAAGGCCATCACTCTGAGGTGGAAGGGTGGTAGTCCGAGTCTTGCAAATGCCCAGCCGGTTACACACCTCAGCTATGGCTGCCAATTTGAAGTTGTGCCCCTGATCACTATGGAGCTCCTCTGGCACTCAAAAATGGCAGAAGAATGTGTCAATTAGCTTCTCTGCCATTTTGTCCACACTCTTATCTGGGACCGCATACGTCTTAGGCCACCGAAGCGGAGGTACTGTAGTGGGTTGTGGGATGGCTGTGGTGGCCCCTCTTCACTATCCTCCTTCTGAGCATGGCAAAACTTCTCAGGGCTCACTGTGTTAACACTGGTGCCACAGTGAGCGATGGCAACAGTGCTCCTCTCTACTGTCTCCACATTGTCTTCCAGGCGCACACAGTATTGGCACTTCTCAGCTGCGCATGAGAAGTGGAACAGGCCATTGGTGTTACCATGCAGGCACCCAGGATGGTATAGACTTATGACCTGACCCCCAGGCTCTTTGAACATGAGCAAAGTCAATGAGTCATGATCAGTGTGCAAAATGAAGGGAACCCTGTATAGGTAGGAGTAAGCTGGTGCACATAAAGTGCTGGTAATATGAAGCCAGACTGAGAAAGCTTCACAACATGGGCCACTGCTGCGCCATGTCCACCTTTCTCGGGTCTGTTTCCACTCTTGCACTGCTTGCCATGTGATGCAGGAAGCTCACACTGCTGAAGGAGGCTGCATTTCTTAGGGTGCAGGTGGATGTTTGAGGACTTTATGGCCTTGAACTCCTGCTCCAAGTTTGTGAGTGCACTGTTGCGTTACTACTACACTGTTGCTACTGCATATCCAGTGCATTACCTGCTGTAGCCAAGTACCAGGTTTGAACACTGTTTGGAGTGAGTGTCACTTGCCAGAACCTGCTCCACAGGTCCAGCAAGCTGAACCACACAGAGCCTGTGAGGATCCAAAGTGTTTTCAATGCACAGGAGTGGATATGAATCAGGCTTAGAGACAGTGTTGAGCTGCATGTAGTCCATGCAGAAACGCTAGCTACCGTCTTTCTACTTGGCTTGAACAACCGGCCCAGCCCAGAGGCTACTCCATGGCTCAGTGACCCCTGTTGCTGCCATCTCCTGTATGTTCTGTTCTGCAGCTTTTTTCTTTGCCAGCAGAAGCCAGTGAGAAGAGAGCTGAATTGATGCAGCATTACCAGTGTTAATGCTGTGCTGCACTAAGTTGGTCCACATATAGTCCTCCTCCACAGCAGCAAAGGTGTCATGGTAATGGTGTAGGAGCTCCATCAAATCTATGAGAACCTAGAGTGCTTTCCTTCCAGTGACAGGAACAGCTAAATAATGGTGACATCCAGCCATAATGCTGGGTGACTATTTATAGATGCATTGAAATATGACTCCCAGGTCACCATTGTAGCGCGTTAGGCAGACATGTGGGTTCTCTCTTCTGTCGAACAGTGGGAACAGTGAACAGTGGGAAGGCCACCTCAAGCCTTACACTTTCTGTTCTGGGTGAAGTCCCTCACACAAATGCGACTACACACAAACACAATAAAAAATTAATAACACATAAAAACCCAACAAACAACAACAGCAACAATAATAACAACAAATAGGGGCCTGAGTATGCAGCGTGGCTTTGTATACCATGCTTCTAACGTCCCCTTCTGCAATGAGGAACAAGCAGCAGTTCCCATTATAAATAAAAAAGGTTTCAAACAGCTACAGTTATAATTAACATGTCTAGAAGAGGACACAGGTGTATTTTGCCCCCATCCCCACTCACACATAAACACAAAATGAGAAGGTAATTTGAAAGGCAAAACATTCTCCAAGGTTCATAGATTAAGGTGATAGTTATATATCAGCTGAACTGACGATGAAACTATATATGTAAGCACCAAAGACTTGGAGAGACCTTTGGATGGTGGAATAATCTCAGAGCCTTTCAATGTGTGCTCCTTATCTAGTATAATATGAAATTCAATGTGTGGAGGTGGTGGGGATCAAGCTCCATAATGTTTTTACTAATCTTTATCAAGGTGGCCAGTACTTATTAGGGCATTATAATTGGTGTTATTTATTATATGATTTCAAGTTTAGTTATTTTAATCTCTTCAAATACAGTGTACTGAAAAAGAAGATCATGGAATCCAAATCTGGTCGCTTTATGGAGAAAGACAAACGGATTTTGGAAGAGCTTAAGAGTCTTCATTGTGACCCCCATCCATACTGTAACGTTCTCCCTTCTGAGTCTGATATCAGTGAGTATTAATAAGTTTTATGGCTACTCGATGATGAGTTTAGTCAAAACCAAAAAAGATTCTCTATCTAAATGACGGAGCACTATTTTAAAGTCTACCTCTTAATGATTATCAAAGTATTAGCAAGGAATTAACACTCTGAGGTCGACAAACTCACCAGTGTGTGAAATTAAATGTTTTTCAGTGTTTCTAATATTATCTTGGTGAAGGACTGTGCAGAAATACAGTTCAAACATTTCCTGAAGTAAAGCTGTTTTCACAAGAGGTATTAAGAATTTCTAAAAAGCTTTAGTGCTGAATTATCTCTGCATATAGAGCTCCAGTTCAAAACAACTCATTATATAGATAGCTGAGATTGTTCTGTACATTTTGATATGTTATGTGGGTATCACGTTGTACGTAAGAGCCTATAAAGGTGAATTTAAAAAATATATATGCAAAAATCAAGAAGATGCTCTTAGACCTCAGAGGGTTAATAATGTTCCAGTAAACAGAACCTTAAAATGTGTAAGCAAGCATAGAAATGTGGTGTAAATGTGTTTATACAATGTGTTCATAAGTTCTGCTGTTAAGTGACCCTTATTAGTCCCACAACGGGGAAATTTCACCTCCACATTTGACCCATACATGCAAGAACTAAAACACTAGATAAAGATGTCAGACTGTCAGATAGATGTGTAAACTGCTCCTGGAGCATTCTTGTTCTGCATGTTCAGGTGTTTCACTGTCTCAAATAATCAGTGCCCAGTTTCCCAAATGATCTTAGAGTTAAGATCATCTTAACTGGTATGGAGAGTGTTCAGTTTGATGTTTGCTCTACCATTTAACAATCATTTGTGTGCTAAGAAGCTTTCAGGAAGCAAAGCTCAGCTCATTGACAAGCCCATCCTGAGGTGGGTGTGTTAGAATAGAAAAACTTTACAATGTGCAGGAAAGAGGATACTCCAAGACCCCCACTGGGAACCACTGGTATAAGGCAATGGTCATCCACTTACTTGTGCATCAAGTTTAGACTTCTTGGTAAAGGCTGAGATCTGTGGACAGGCTCCATGGTCTTCATGTAGTGGCTTGCTTAATGTGGTTTCTTCAAGATGTTAGCTTCTAATGTATTAGTTTCAATATTGTACATAACAAACCCTTAATTAATTCTGTCTGCATATTTTACTTGAACATTATTAATAATTATTTATTGTTTTTTGTCCCTTATTGTAAGTTGACTGCACATTCTTAAGAAGCACTTTATAAGTGCAAGAGTTTCCAAGAGTTTTTAATAAGTATTACTTATCCAGTATATACATTACATATGAATTAGATATATACTTCATATTTGATCTCATTTAGACAATTCAAACGTTCTTATATTTAAAAACACTGACCTGCCACTTCCTTGTTTCTACATTCATTGTCCACTTTATCAGCTCCACTGACCGTATAGTTTCACTGTAGTCCATCTGTTTCTCTGCATACTATATTATAATCATATAGCTTAGTAGAAACCTAAGCCATCCACATCATATGTAGATTTGGTTCAAGGAGAAGGTTAAACATGTTTACAGTTCATTAAACAATAACATGCAAATGATAAAATAGATTTAAAATATCTTTATTAATGAATATGCAAGATCATAACTAAAGTGAAACATATTCAGACTTAATTCTCAATACTGTTAGTAGATGTTTAATTTTTTAGTTTTTGTTCTGGAAATAGCTTCCAATGTCATATTTACATTAAAAAGATATTATATATCATATTCCTTTATTAAGATGTGATGCTTGCAACTGAAAGATTGCTGTTAATTAATATTTATACCACATTTCTAAACATGCTTACAAATGCTGTTTCTTTTTACTAGGTTATTATTAATTACTTGCTACATGCAAATCTTGCTTACTTGACTCTATCCATCTATCTGCTAATTTCGCTCACCATGCACAGGATACAAAAAATTGGGCTCTTTTCATGCAACTGTTGTATGGAATAAGATGAGATTAGAAGCTAACAATGAGTTGTTAATGTTCTGTTTATTGTAATGATTTAAAATGGATCAATATGATTTCTAACAGTTACCTTATACCTTGACAAAATTATACAGCTTGAAAAGAATTGATATAACGGTAGCTATTACTATATTTCTGTTAGACTTCTGGAAGATTCTGTTGCAAGGTCCCCCTGAAACACCTTACGAGAATGGTGTTTTTGAACTGTATTGTGAGTTTGGTCCTGACTACCCTGTGAAGCCACCACTTCTGAAATTCATCACAGCTGTATCCTTATGTTATTTCTTAATTTTTAAGAAAAATAAAATTATTTCCTTATGATGAAAAATATCTTTTATGTAAGTTACAGTATTTGCAAACCTTTTTTTATTCTTGTGAGAATCCTTAATTCTGGTGTATTAAAGATTTACCACTGCAATGTAAACAGTGTGGGACGAATCTGCCACAACATATTTGATCGTAACTACTCAGCCCAAATCACCATGCGAGAGATTCTGGATGCTGTATTTGGGCTCCTGATAGCTCCAGAGCCAGAGGATCCCTTAGACAGGTAAACACTTCATGATTTTCTTATATCTTCTAATATCAAGCCTGTAGAAGTAATATGATTCTCTATAGTTAAAAAGGAATTTTTACATTTGGAAACTGTATAGAAATGTTGAAGATCATATGTTAATCTCATGTCAGACATTTATAATTATATATGTCATGTAACATATTGCAAAGACATTTATTATGCATTGTGAATATTAGATTTATAGGAAGTGTTTCCCAAATTCCACATTTTCCTAAAGGCAAAGTTCTGCTAGGGTCAAGTTGAGTGTGACCTCAATCCCATTGAAATGTTGTGATGTGATCTATAGCAGGCCATTCAAAACATCTCAGAAGCATAAACAAATTAAATTGATGTCACCAAAAAACAAACCTACTTTCAAGTAGATAATGCTATCTGGCATGCTGTGATAGCGGTGTCGAAAAACAAACTCAGACATTGGTTAAAGGTTAAACCCATTTTAATATTTTAATTTGACATGCATGGAGAGGATCAGGCCAAACTCTGCTCTTCTGCTTGCCTCTAACACACCCACTGTTTATATATTTCACTGAGACATAAATGCTATGACTTTATAAGGCAATGAATGGAATGTATGGACATATATAACTCAATAAACCCAAACCCTCATGCAGAATGTAGGCTATTGGGCCCCTGAGGTTCGCAAGGCTTCCATACCCATGTTCTTCATAAGGAATATAGACTCTTAGGCACTCAAGATTCCTTGGTGGTATGTAGAAGGCCATACATGGCAGTCTACACCGTTCCCGAATCCAGATTGGGCTGGAGGATTATCTGCTCTATACAAGTGATGACACTGGTGATGACAATACTGGTGGTGCTGACCATTTTGACTATTGATTCTAACCCAGAAATTTACAATAGAAAAGGCTACTTCTGGACCCACAGGGTGCATTAAAATCATTCTTTTTAAGTCAGAGATTTTCTCCTGGTGAAAGGAAATAGAATTTGACATATAAAATATCAAATTGCTCATTGCCCATTTTTGACATCCTTGGTTGCACTGACTTGTTAATGTGTTTTGGATCATTATCTTAGATGCATCTTACTGTAAATTAAATCTTTCCGTTCAGATTTGACATTATTAACATAAACATTATTGTATTGCTAACTAATAAAAGTAAACATCTGGCAGCTTTTTATGAGGCCTACCTAATTTTTTTCCACCTTTATCACCATTATAGCAGCTGACAGCACACCACACTGAATGGTTGAAGATTTTTTTTTTTATCAATTTTTGCACTACTGTATTGTTTTCTTTACTGCAATCAATTTTACCATGCATTATTACCTCATGTTCATCTTTTTTAAAATCAATAAAAACATTCTGAACTCCTAATTAACACTGTCCAAATACTTACGTGTGGCATGTTATAGTAGCAGTGTTGATCATTTGAAAAACATTAAAAAAAACAGATAGCTAATAATGAATCTTTGGTTTACTAAGCATCCTGGCAGAAGAATTTATGACCAGCAAGACAAAATATGAAGAAGAAGCTCGAAAAAACACAGAAAACAATGCAATTCCATCAATGGATGAAGTAGAAAAGGTAATGTGTGCCCTGCAGACCACCAGATCATCATACTTACACTTAAAAACAAACTTCATTTACAAAACAAATGAATTCTCATTTTATGTCATTTCAGAAATACGTTCCAGAAATCTCTGAGATAGACATACCTCCTAATCTGAAATGCTCACTGACAAAGAAACTGTTTGTGGATCCAGTGAGGACAAAAGAAGGATATACATATGAGCGCAAAGCTATTGAGAAGCATCTGAAGGGGTATGTCCAATTATGTTAAAATGTTTTAAAGCCATATCAATGTTAAATCAGTGTTATTTTTTAGTTTTACTTTCAGTTTCACTAATACAAGTAACCTGGACACCTGATACCAGCACATAAGCAAATTGTAGCAGAATGGTGGACCAGGGACTAAAAATATATTAAACTGCCACTGGGGTGGAACCCTCAAGGGTACATTTTCAGTACCTGCAGTTAAGAAAAAATGTAACATGTTCCATTACGTTTGTATTAAAAAAAAAAATTATCTTTCCTTTGGGAAAGTGGGTGCTTCGAAGTATAGCTTTAAACTTAATTAAGGACACAAACCCAAAATTTTGCTAACATAAATTGCATGAACCAGTTCCGTGAATACATCAAAGCAAATGGTTTCATAAAGACAGAAAAGAGGCTAACAGCTGATGGAACACAGCTCATTAAGGACTAACAAGGCATTGCTCACAGATGGATGGAGCATTTTAGCCAGCTGGAGAATAGATGATCTGAGGTAGATGCAGAGGGGCTCAATGAAAAACACAAAATCCTGTCCAAGAGCAGCTTGATGAACAGCCATCACTGAATGAAATTCAAGAAACAATCTGCCAGGTGAAACCAGGTAAAGCTCCTGGCAAAGATAGCATTCCACTTGAACTTTACCCTACACTAAATCCATACCTTAACCTGTGTTCAGGAAGCAGAGGAAATGCCACAGGCCTTCAAGGATGCTACCATGGTCACACTTGTACAGAAAAACAAGGTTATACAAAAAGAGCATTCAAAAACAACCATTTCTAAAGACGGAGTATTGGACCAGGAAATCCAGAATAGAATTCAAAAGGCAAACTATTCTCTGGAAAGACTGCTTACTAGGGTGCTTAAACCACATAGTCATCCACACTGCTAAAATAAAGGTGTATACAGCCATGGTCATGTCAACCTTGCTGTACAGTTGTGACACCTGGACTGTGTACAAAAGACACAACAGACAGCTGTAAGCATTTCACATGACGTCCCTTTGCATCACAATGGGAATAAAGTGTTAAGATAAGGTCACAAACGCGGAGGTCCAGAGGTCCACCAGAGAGCAAATATCACCAGCATAGAGGCCATCAAGACACAGCTATAAATGGACAGGTCATGTCCTCCAAATGACTGGATGCTGCATCCCATGGGTAGCTTTCTCTTGTAAACTGAAACAAGTTTTCAGAAAATCAAGCTCCAGTACTGCGGTGTTAAGCCAAAAGATTTGGAGAGCTCAGAAGCAGACAAAACTGTCTGGAGTGCGTGTGCCCTAACTAACACGATCTTTTGTAACAGTGCAGGGTTAAGCTGGTTAGTACGATCCATTAGCAGACTGTATTTTGACAGGAACCACAGTACAAAACACAGTCCAGTCAGGGCAGAGCACAGGACCAAATGCCATAGAACACATACAACAGAGCCAAAGCAGAGAAATCCAAAACAAAATCCAAAAATGAAAGTCAAAAAATAAGTCCAAAAGTCAGAGGAAAAAAAAGGCTCAGGGTTGCAGTGATACACTAACAATGCTTCACAATGAGTGGCAAGAGAGATACATTGCTTCTACCTTGTAGGAGTAAAATTTACCTGGACAATACCCCTTATTTCTGACAGTGTACAGTGTACCTGAAACCAGCAGTCTGAGAGACAATGAAGTGAATATATTCTCAATGAATGAATAAACTTGGCTTAGATCGCAGCAGTCTTCAAAACATTCAGTAGACTTTGCCAGTCTTTGACCTGTACTAAAATGTATTATTATTATTATTATTATTATTATTATTATTGCTGTTGTTTTGATAAAAAGTCAATGGTTTATTAAAACATTTATTAATATTTATTAATTTATTAATGACTTTATTAATGTTTTAGTAAAACTGGATGTGAACACATTGTGAAAAATTAGATATAGTAAAGCTGATTACTAATTTGATGCAAATTTCAGGTCTTCCTTTGATCCCCTGACAAACAAAAGTCTCAGCCAAAAAGACTTAAAAGAAGACAAAGAAATGAAGAAAGCTGTACAGCAGTTCCGGCGATCCCAGATTCAGGAAACTACTGTCTGAAGAACTGCAGATAGAGGAGGCACCTTAATCAGAGAAATATCTTTTTTAATCAAGGCTTCTATGTTTATTAAAACTTAATCAAGCAATAAGAATTTTCTTTCATAATTAATATTCAAAGAAAGACAGTGACTTTTGTGTTCCGGTGCGATGTAGAAGAGTAGGGTGCCATTGATTTTAGTGATATGATGTTGTAAAACAGACTATTATAGTGAGTTTAACTTCACAGCTTACAGATATTACTGAGGTGATGACATCATTACATAACTGCAGGGCTAATATAGCCATGTATGGGTAAGAATTCTTTTTAAAGGAGAAGACACACACACTCCATTAGTAAATGGGCACAGATTAAAACATAAGTCTATATAGACAAATAATTATTCTGTTTCTGTGTTCACATCAGTACAATTTTGCACTTATAACAGGTTTACAATGCTTTTGGAGATATCTCAAATTATCATTCAGAGCTGTACGGATCTGAAGATCAAGGTAATTACTAATGTGTAACTGTTAAATTACACTTAACCAGCCATTTAATTGTACATGGACTTTCGTGAAATATTCTGAGGTTGTACTCATATTAATCTCAAGCACAAACAATAAAATACAGTTGTTCTAATTGTTCATTTACAGTTAATTGTACTTGTCAATACATCAGAATTTCTAATTTGATACGCAAATAAACTGCTGAACAAAGAGTAGGTACATGGTTTAGGACATGGAAATAATTCCTACTATAACAGTAGTTATCGGTCTCTGATCATATCTGAATCATGTATTGGATCTTTATTTATGTGCTTGTTACATTGTTCCTTACATTGTAATAAGGACTGAAGTTGATTAGTTAAACTATGACATATTCTTAAATTCAGTGTCATTTAATGCATTGTATGTTTTTCCAGAGATCTCTTTATCATACCTAATGAAATAACTAATTTTTTACAGAATTTGTTATGCTGTTGTTGAGACTAGAAAAGAGTGGCTGAAGGGATTTGATGGTAGTTTCTACATTTTATAATATATATCATTCCACTTATTTACATGATATGTACTGAGGATTATCTTTATGCAGGTTTCCTATGAACTCAGGTTAGATATTCTTTTTAATAATGAATTTGGTAGCACTGTTTGGTGTAAACAGAAATATAATTTTTTGAGTGCATTCATTGAATAAAGGTGGAGGTTATATCAGTGTTGTCTGTATTTGTAATACTTTTGTGAGGAGTCCATTGCTGTGCACAATAATGTCAACATGATTTTATCTAGAAAATATAATAAGATCTGCAGGGAAATAAAGTGCTGTAGCTGTTGATTTCACTGATTAACTGTTGATTTTCTAAGCACAAATAAGTTAAAACATCCTCTACAGAGAACACACTTCTGTACATTTTAATACAAAGTTACTGTTTATTTCCTAGATGGTGCTGAAGCGTGTAGACTTTTTTAGCCAACAAGTTTGCTTAGAAACAACATGGTGCATGGATGTGGAAGTAATTTTACAGAACTGCACTCCAGATCTCGAGTATTTATTTGATCAAGTGCTGACTATTCTACTGCCTTGAAAGTTTTCAGCTGTGTTTATGGCTGCAGTTTAAATTCCTCCACAAGAGAACACACACAATACTACATCAATCAGGCATAACATTATAACCTCCTTGTTTCTACGCTCACTGTCCATTTTATCAGCTCCACTTACTATATAGGTGCACTTTGTAGTTCTACAGTTACAGACTGTAGTCCATCTGTTTCTCTGATACTTTGTTAGCCCCCTTTTACCCTGTTCTTCAGTGGTCAGGACCCCCATGGACCCTCACAGAGCAGGTACTATTTGGGTGGTGGATCATTCTCAGCACTGCAGTAACACTGACGTGGTGGTGGTGTGTTAGTGTGTGGACTACAGTCTGTAACTACAAAGTGCACCTATATAGTAAGTGGAGCTGATAAAATGGACAATGAGCGCAGAAACAAGGAGATAATGTCATAATGTTATGCCTGATTGGTGTATATGCAAACTGTACCATGTTATCACCAGATAGGAGAATAGACATAGCTATTAGTACTGGTGTTTCATTCTCTGTTACTTATGAATTTTTTTTTAATATGCAGCTTTTCGCAGTAGTAGCCATCTTCTCTTCTTATTTTGTGTTTTAATAGAGGCACTCTTCATCTCCAAAACAGAGGAAGCAAGGTGGATAGGCTTTGATGTTAGTTCTTTACCCAGTAATCAGGAACCCATCTGATATCCTGTTCATTCGTTACAGTCTCAGGTCTGCTCTGGCATGTCCTAAAAACAAAACACACAGACACAGCAGCAGCATCGTATTCTTAAAACACGAATAGTGTCATATGCCCTTGTGTAAACTTTTGGTTTACCCATTTTCATGGATACCTTCTTTTCCTACCTAACATGGGTCCTGGCCTCTGGTGGAAGTCAGAGACCGCTAAGCATAAAGGGAAATTAGATAATCTTCACTCTGAGGTTAACCCCCATGACCTAGACATCACAGATCCTCATCAGACCATCTCCCATTTTATCGCTGAGCTGGCCATCACCAGCAGGTGGTGGTACCACCTTGGTATGGCTCACATGTATGCATTTTAGTTGCACTTGACATTTTAGAACAGAGAATATGGTGAGGAAGACTTGATATGGACCTTCTAATTTTGGCCCTGATGGCTGAGTGTTATGCACCTTAACCTTTTGTCATGAGACAGTAGGGTGACACCCCTTAGTTAGTTCTTACGCATGTGCAGTGTGGTCTTTGAGAACCTGATCCATAACAATAGGAGCAACAGCTAAAACACAAACATTACTCTCAGGCAAGGTGACATTTCAAGTGCAACTGTGTTTATTTTGGCAGAGTAATAAAATGCAGGCCTCTCTCTGTCACCGTGATTGTGAGTTAAACAGCTAGACACAAACCCTAGAGATTCTGAAACATACAGTGTAAACGTACGGAATGTAGTTCCATATTCTCTAGGCCTAGGGCTGAGGCACTGGATAACGCAGGTTTAAGAGAATGAAAAGCTAATAACTGATTATCATTTAGCTGAAACTTAGTTGCTGATTTTCTTTTTTAGTTAGTTTGTATAGTGGTTTTTCTCTTTTTTGTATAATTCTCAATTCAAAGGAATCAGTATTTGCACAATCCCAGAAAAGATTACAGCTGTGCTAACGTATCAGGTGATGAAATAGTACATACTGTGGCACAACACTCAGGCAAAATTGACCTCTGAGCCTGGGAAACCAGCTGTCCTACATACTAAACAGAGGATTCATTAATCTGAGCGTTTTAAAAAAAAATGCTTCGTGTCTGAATTAATGTAGGTAATCTAACAAAGCTAGCAAGTTACATTCATGTTCCTCTGCATTTGCGAAAGCTATCAAAATGTTGTCCATATATTGTAGAACCATATAAGTCATTGTTGGAGCATCAGATGACTTTTTGCATAGGGCTCGATGATAAATAGTAATGGAATTATGAAGCCCTTGTGGTAATCTGGTCCATTGGAATGTTGAGAACCTACAGTAAAGCTAGCTATGGTTAATAATCTTCATGCAAAGGCAAAAAATCCATATCAATTACGGAGAAAACACAATGTTCTGGACACAATCCGTCAAAAATGGTGGATGGATCAGCTATCATAGGTACAGTTTTTGTGATGCATTTGTTGGCTTTACAGTAATCTACAACCCAATGAAATGAATCCCCTTTTGGAAACTGCCATATGGGTGAGGGACATTGGTTAGGAAACAACACACCTTGCCTAATTAAATCCCCCACAACATGTTGAATACCTCAGAATGCTGCATTATTAATTTTACATTATTTACTAATACTGCTTGCTATTCAGCCAAGGGAAAGTAGTCAGTTTGACATGTTCAGCCTTTAGTAAGCCACAATCTGTGAGAGATTTGGGCCAATTTTGTCACAAAAATAGACCTATGAAAACTTGCCTCATGAACTGGTTCATGACACTTAATGGCACCATGACAACACAGGCCAACCATAAAAGACTTACACAGACCCCAGTACAGGGCAGAGGTCAGCCCTACTTTGGGCTTTTAAACACAACTTCAGTTGTATCTGAAACTCAACCCTGAACTTGCCAGGAAAATAGTCCCAGTCACTATATCAGAAAAGGCAGGTCTAGACTTATTTTAAAGTTTACATCAAACTTTTCCTTACGTTTATACTTCCATAGACATACTTAGCCTTGGAGGCAGCATGTTTTAAGACATCTCTTTGGGTTTGCTCACTAGTTTTTTGCCCAAATGACATGTGTAGCCTCTCATATAGGGACCATATTCTATTTAAATGAACAGATATCTGACCTACAGCATAGAGATGAGAAGACCAATCTGGGTCATGGCACCACATGAAAATCCAAACCTGTATGGCTGGAGTATTTATTTGTTGCACAGAGGTACTAGACACCTAGCCAGCCTGTAACACAATGGACTGACAAAGTTTTATAGCTGGACTGATGCCAAGATTAGGCCCAGCCTTTACATGACAGGTGTGACAGACATGACCAATAGGCAGAACAGAATGTTGTAAAAACAATCACAGTACAGACACACAATACTGAATACAATGACATACAACCCAGAACTAAACACACAGCAGTACATTCCTTCACTGCTTAACCAATTGTATTTTGTGCTAACATTACACTTGACAGCAGGAAGTGTTAGAGAAAAGACTGAAGTGAGCACTATGTGCACTAACAGTTTAGAGGACGGGGGAAACCAAATGTGGTGTTTTCCCAAGGCACTCAAAAATCATTATAGTCTAAGCAGCATGAAAACTATTGTGCTACCTATGTCATGTGATCACTATAGTTTAATGAGTTACAATTATATTTAGGAGCTCCACATAGCCTGACATAAATCCAAGCTTCATTTTTCTTTTCATCCAATAATAAAAATGTGAATTTTAAAGAAATAACCGTATGATGCAATGTGTCACTTTCTTGATGAGGTGTTAATGTTTTATTGGGGGGATTGTTAGTGCTGTGGTGATATGTGGATTTGTGATACGTAAGTTTGTAACACTTGTTACCTGGAGTGGGGTAGCCATAATGAGTGGAATTAGAGAGCACATGGACAGCAACATGGACACTGGTATGGGTACTCCAAATGTCTCGATTATTTGCTACAGAGACCATTTCAAACCAGTTTTCACAGCAACTAATGTTCCATTTATACATAAATGAGAAAGGATAAAGCACCATGGTAGCATTATTTGAAAAGGATAGAAAATAAAGGTTGGTGTAATTTATGAATGCTACCCACTCCTTCTTCTAAAATCAGCTCTCTTCTTCTATAACAAGTGAGGTCAAACACAGTATATGAACATCCAAGTGAAATAACTATGTCAAAATCACAGGTGCTCAGTACTGCATCAGTAAATAATAAATAAGAAGAGACATGTCCACAAATGTTCGGTGAAACCCTCAAAGTGTATTGATTGTAACCCCAAATCCTATATACAACCAAAACACAACACAACAACAAAAACCAACATCAACATACACTATATACACCTGCTCAGTCCTTTGGCTTCAAGAAGTGAAGTCCTTGAGTCCAGTTTTACTGTACAGCGAATTATTTTTATTTTTTTAACAAAGAACAGTTTCACCAGGTTTGTAACTGATGGGGCAGAACCTTGAGGAAAATGGATATCTTAGAAGGTGGAGAGTTTCTTGTGTGTGGATAGTCCAGTGGAAAGTTGAGACTGTTGATCATAGAGTTCCTGGGGTTTTGGTGAAATGTCCAGCAGAATATGTTGATAGGTAATCCTCACACCACCAGTGGAATTGATGGGTGGCATAAAGTCTCCTCCTAATGATACGTTAGTAATTGAAAGTGAGCAAAACGGCAACAATAATGTAGGGTTTAACCAAACAAAGCCTGTAGTTAGCATAGCATGCTAACAGCTACATTAAACCCAGTTGAAAACCATACATCATCATAATTTCATGAAAATGGTTCACCAAACATGAAAGGACAAAAAACATTGTACTTACACTAGCATAGAAACACAAATTTCCTGGTAGACAAATAGCCTAAGCAGAGAGTACACATGTTGCAAACAATTCTTCTCCGCTTCCTGTTTGCCTGCCCTTTTAT